CCTTCCAAACAGGCCCCAACATCTAGAAAATGGCCTCCCGAAGAAACCATCGGAAGTGATTACACATTCGGTGCCGATTCGTTGGTGATTGGGGCCGCAGGAGCCCCCCCACCACTTTGGGGCGTCGCCACGACATGCTATGTCATGTTACGCGTTGATCTTCAACACCATGCTATGCCATGTAATGCTATGCCATGCTGCGACATCCGATTGTGCGAAGAAAGAAGAGACCTACGCCATGAGATGGGATGGGACGGAGGGGTAGAACGTCAGATATGACGCGGGCGCACCCAGCTGGCCTCCACCCCCCCTCCCCCTCCTCCGCCTCCTCCCCCCTCGCCGCCCCTCCCTCCCCCCCCCTTTCCCTGCAGCCTCCCCTGCGAGGGCTGCGAGGCCAAGGGCGGTGTGCATCTGCGCGGGATGACGCGGAGGGGGGCGGAGAGGGGGAAACTGGGTAGTCGAAGGCCAGACTGGCAAATTGGATAGGGCCCCAAGGGCCAATCTGGCCTGGCTAAATTGGAGGATTTGGGTTATTCGCCAGATTGCCCACGTTTGCCAGATTGGCCCTGCCAAATTGGCGCCAGATTGGCTTCGACCACCCAGGGAAGGGGCAGGGCTCGAGGTTCGAGGCTTCGAGTTGTGTTCCGCGCCTTCGTTGGCTTTCGGCGGTTCCCAGCCTCGGGGTGTACCTCGGCAGGCGCGCCTCGCCGAGGGCGCGCCCTGGATGCCTGGATTTTGCACCGGCCAGCCGCCGGAGGCCCGATTTGTGGCCCGAAGGCCACGGGAGGCAGAGGGGGAGGAGGAGGAGGAGGAGGAGGAGGAGGAGGAGGAGAAGGAGGAGGATGAGGAGGAGGAGGGGGCTTTGGAGACTCTGCTTGATCGCGTAGCGATATGGTTGCACCACCTGTCGCCACCCACGAGCTGTTCCAGGTACGCAAGGTGCGAGAAGCCTGTGAAGTCGCCATGGAAGGTGGACACCACGCCCTCCAGAACTGGTAGACAGGACTGATACCTCGTATGGTTGCCTCACTTCAAACACATATTGCCGTGTTCAGAAGCTTCGCCCCTTCCCACCAGGCAGCCAGAAAACGGAACGTGGATGGACACAACCGAATGACATAAGATAAGTTTCGCAACAACGTGGAATAATCAAATCCACAGGAAATCACATGTGCTTGCAATGTTGTTCCCCTTTGTTCTGTTGTTGGGTAGCAGTGGACCAGTCTACCACAGTCGTACCACGGGGAATGTAAGAGGTTGACGGCCCGCCACGAAGGGTCTCAGCATCACGTAGAAGTCTCACACGGGCTTCGCAGGACTCCCAGCTTGGAGGAGCCGCCACGGCGGCCCTCTCGGTCGGCACCTGCGGCTGTCTGGTAGTGTCCTCAACAGGAGCAGGGCTTGTAAGCCAGGAGCGAGATACACGAGCACGAGCTTCCCACCACGCTGCTCCTGCTGAGCGGCGCTCGGCCGAGGCGTCCGAGGGGTCTTGATGATCAGTGCCCTCTTCGCCTGTGCGGCACGCGGCCACGGCGTCCGAGGGGTCTTGTTGATCAGTGCCCCTTGCCCCGTCGGCATTCTGGGAGACTCCTATGGGCGGACTTGATTTCTTGGAAATACATGTCCGTGCATTGTCCACCCAATCTGGCAAACTGAATTGGCGTCTCCTGCACCGTGAGAAAAGAAGTGCGCCGCAGGTGCATAGCGCACAGGTGGCGTCGGGCTGTGACCTCGCCTCATTCGTCCCCTGATCCCATAATCGTAGATGATCACGTCGGGCTCCAGCTTCGCCCTCCCTCATCTCACACACGTTGGCTAGGTTAGGAATGTCGGGCTCCAACTCCGCCACACACTGCTCGCAATGATGTGTCTGGAAGCACACACGCCGGGCTCCAACTTCGCCTTCCCTCTTCTCACATGCGTTGGCTGGATCAAGGGCAAGGCTAGCAATGTCGGGCTCCAACTTCGTCGTCCCTTCCGTCATCTCGCACACGTTGGTTGGATCAAGGGCTAGGCTAGTAGTGTCGGGCTCCAACTTCGCTACACGCTTCTCGCAGTGGGGTGTCTGAGATGGCGCCGAATACACCGTGCAAGGTTCGATGGTGACGTCGGGCTGCGACTTCGCCTCGTGCATGCCCTGATCCCTGACTCGCAGATGATCACGTCGGGTTCTAACTTCGCCTTCCGTCATCTCGCACACGTTGGCTGGATCAAACACTAGGCACGTAGTGTCGGGCTCCAACTTCGCTGTCCGCTTCTCGCAATGAGGTGTCTGGGGTGGCTCCGAATACACTGTGCGAAAGTCACTGGCGACGTCGGGCTGTGACTTCGCCCCCCAAATCCCCGGATCCCAGCTTCGTAGATGATCACATTGGGCTTCAAATTCGCCTTACCTCTTCTCGCACACGTTGGCTGGACCAGGGGCTTGACTTGTAGTGTTGGGCTCCAACTTTGCCTCGCGCATCTCGCAATGACGTGTCGGTTGTAGCCACTGCTCTTCCAGCCCCCACGTCCATGCCATGTTCTCCGGAGGCTGCCACCTTCTGGTATGCTGCATCTTGCGGAGCAGCTCCACCTCGCGGATCAGGCGGTGGATGGCTTGCTCAGCCGACCACTGTGCCCATGCCCGCCGGGCTTTGCGCTCTCGCGGGGTGAGTCTTGGGCGCCACTCTTCGGCACCTATCCCGTAGCACAACTAAACTCCAGTGTTTGTTGATGTCCAAAGCGGTCGACCATGCGACAGCCGCTACAGAATCCCTCAATAACCGCGGGGAGGTCCTGGAGCAGGCCTGGGCAAGGAACCCTGGGCCGAAGTTGCTTGAGAGGAAGAGGAGGAGGAGGAGGAGGAGGAGGAGGAGGATGAGGAGGAGGAGGAGGAGGAGGAGGAGGAGGAGGAGGAGGAAGAGATGGATGATGGGGAGGAGGGGGAGGGGGGGCAGGAGGAGGAGGGGTAGGAGGAGGGAGAGGAGGGGTTACGTACGGAGTAAGAGATGACTCGAACATGTCGGTTACTGGGGGAAATCCCCAAGCAGCTTAAACAGGGCGGAGAACCCGATTGCCCTGTCGAGCTACGCCTTGCAAGCTCAGCTCGATTCATGCTTTGGGCCTTTCTCTCTTCATTATCCGACTGAGATCCGCCGGGCCCCTTGGGGCCGACAGGCTGTGAGGGTCTCTGCTGGACTGATGTACTGTGTCGTGCACTTTGCGGTGCCTTTCGTACGCTCCTCTATGGACTCCAGTCTGGTGCCCGCTTTACTGCCTACCGGAGGCCCGCACGGCTTCCTGGCCGCGCTAGGTTGCCCTAGGTCTCCATCGGGCGCCACGGAACGACATCACGGCTTCCGAGGACTTTCTGGAAAGCTGCCTCCAGGCTGTGGCAGGAGCTGCCGATGACGGTTGCACACGGCATCCTCCATTGCTGTGCCGTTAAAGGGCAAAGTTGCTGGTCCCCACAACTTTGACCGCACCGTCTCTCGTCACAACAACTGCTGCGACGTGGTAATGCAAGGCGCACCTGCGATAATCCCACGTGTTGATCATGCCACTGCCGTCGGAGGGGGCATTCAAGACGAAGGAGGGCCTCGGGATGCCATACAGCCGCTAGCAGATAGGTGATGAGTGTGCCTTGGGGCCCGCTTTTATGTCGGTGTCGGTGTTCCTGCGGCATGCCCACCCCGAACTGATGTCGGCTGATACCCGAGCGAATGGCCTGCACATTTTGTGACACATTTGACAAATTCTGGCCTGTGTTCAGTGCGCAAGCCTCATTCTGACACGTCCCACTGGCATCTTGAAGAAACGGGATCTCGATCCTTTCTGCTGCTGTCCAGCGGCCTAGTCAAGAAGCCGCCCCAGTGAATCGCGGGCCCATCGGCTGGCCCACCTCCCGCGCACCCGGGCTCGGCTGCTGATCAGACCACTCGTGCAGCCGATGGCCAAATCGTGTGCCACCGTCTTGATGGGCCCAGTCTGCTCAGGGGCGGCCAGGCAGCCCGCGCCTCCCGGGTTTGCCCTGGCGTGCCCCGGGGAACAACCAATGTCGCAGGCCTAGAGGTTGACACCACCACCAATATCGGCGGTGTGACTCCACCGAGGGCAGAAGATCCCGATCTCGGTGACGGTGGAAGTATTCTGGCTTCCAAGGTGACCGAAGTATTGCCACCAACACCAAAATCTAGGATCATCTTCCCCATGCGGAGGCAACCCCCTGTGTTGGTGTTGGTGCCAATTTCTAGGCCTCCAACAACGACATGAGCATAACATCTCGGAGGTCCGAGCGGGTTCCTCGGATCGGCGCCATGTGCCCCCTTCTGGCGCGCGGAGAGCGCCAGGGGCGGCGCTGGAGGCGCCGCCAGGGGGCCCCAGCGACAGTCCGAGAAATTCGCGCGCGGACCTCAGTGTTTTTTGTTGATGTCAGTGGTTGTCCCTTAGTGCTGAAGCACCCTTTCGAGTAGTGGATCGACTACATTCTGGGTTTACCTTAGGCTTGATTTGTCCGCCGAGTCTACGACGAGGGCGTAGAGTGCTCCGTTGATCTACGGAGCATTCTCACCACGTGTCGTAGATTCGACGGGCAATGGGTCGGCCAAAAGGTATCGATACCACTACTCCCTGGACCTCTCCCGGGGTGTTCTGACCGGATTTCGAGGCTAATCCAGCGGTGACGACGCCTCCCAGGAGGCCGGAAAAGGGGAAAACGAGGGAAGGATAGAGGTATGGGTACCTTCTCCTCCTCTGAGACAAAAAATGTTTGGGTAAACCACCTGCTCGAACCTTTTCCGAAAACCTTCGCGTGAGCGTCGTAGGTGTCCTCCTCCATCTCCTCTTTCTCCTCTCCTCCACCTCCTCCTCCTCCTTCTCCTCCCTCCCCCTCCCCATCCCCCTCCCCCTTCTCCTCCTCCTCCTCCTCCTCCTCCTCCTCCTCCTCCTCCTCCTCCTCCTCCTCCTCCTCCCCTACTAGAGCCTTCTCTGTGCATCCTCGCGCGTGCGCTCCTCGGCCCCTGGCCCTCCGCTTTTTTCTGGCGCCATTGCCTCTCGCCGCCGCCCACTTGTCGGCGCAGGGGCACGGGCCTGATGTCGACCGCGTCGGCACGACGACGACGCCGACGACGACGCCGACGACGACGACGACGACGACGACGACGGCGGCGGCGGCGGCGACGGCGGCGGCGACGACGACGACGACGGCGACGGGGGCGACGGCGGTGGCGACGACGACGGCGGCATCGACGGCGTCGGCACGAAGGGGGGCGGGGGGGAGGACCGGGAGGGAGGATGATGAGACAGATGGGGGATGGGGCAGACGGCCTCCTTGTCCTCCTGCCTGCAGCTGCTCCTCTGTTCCTCTTTCTCCTCCTCTCCCTCCTCTCTGGTTCTTTGGGCTAGACGCAAGAGTGACCCTTTGTAAGAGTGGCCTTTGGTGCGCGACTTTTTGGGGGGCCGCGGGGGGAACCAAACCTGGGCGCGCAAGCAGCTGCAGCTTCTTCATGGGGGCCCGTCTGTTCCCGCACAAAAGGTCACTTATGCGAAAGGTCACTCTTATGTCTAGTCGGTGTTTCCCCTCCTTCCTTGGCCCTTCCTCCTCCTCCTCCTCCTCCTCCTCCTCCTCCTCCTCCTCCTCCTCCTCCTCCTCCTCCTCCTCCTCCTCCTCCCCCAGTCCCCGACACCTGATCTTCCGGCGTGCCCCGAGAAGGAGCGGGCTCGTGCCACGTTCCTCGCGCTGGACTCCGAGGGCGCCGGTCAGGCCCCAGGGGAAGAGAGCTACTGGGTTATGTTTGTCGTCGTCGCCTTCCCAGTCCTCGTTCTCGTTCCTCCTCCTCTTCGTCCTCCTCCTCCTAATCAAAATCCTCTTCCTTCTCATCCTCATCCTTGTCTCCCTGCTGCCCCCCCGTGTCGGACTACTCCGCCTCCTCCTCCTTTCGCCCCCGTCCCCGTCCTCCTCCTTCTCCTCGTCCCCGTCCTCCTCCGTCTCCTTCTCTTCCTCCTCATCCGCCATGTCCTCCTTCTCATCCTCCTTTTCCTGCTTATCCCCATCCCTCCCTCTCAGCTTCCTCCTTCTTCTTCTGTGCCTTGCCTTTGTCCTCGCCTCTGCCCTCGCCGTCGCCGTCGCCGCCGCCGCCCGCCGCTGCCGCCGCCGCCGCCGCCATCTTCGTCGTCGTCGTCGTCGTCGTCGTCGTTCGGCGCCGCCGCGCGTCGCCGCGGCTGCCGTCGTCGTCGTCGTCGTCGTCGTTGTCGTCGTCATCGTCGTCGTCGTCGTCGTCGTCGTTCTCGTCGTCGTCGTCTTCGTTGTCGTCGTCGTCGCTGTCGTCCTCGCCGTGATCGTTGTCGTTGACGTCATCGTCGCCGTCGTCGTCGGGCACCGCCGCGCGCCGCTGCCGCCGCCGCCGCCGCCGCCGCCGCCGTCGTCGTCGTCGTCGTCGTCGTCGTCGTCGTCCACGTCGTCGTCCACGTCGTCGGCCGCCGCCGCCGCCGTCGTCGTCATCGTCGTCTTCGCCGTCGTCGTCGTCGTCGTCGTCGTCGTCGTCGTCGTCGTCGTTCTCGTTCGTAGTCGTCGTCGTCGTCGTCGTCGTCGTTCTCGTTGTCGTCGTCTTCGTCGTCGGCGCCGGCGTTGACGTCATCTTCGCCGTCGTCGACGTCGTCATCGTCGTCGTCGTCGTTGTCGTCGCCGTCGTCGTCACCGTTGTCGTCGTCGTCGCCGTCGCCCTCGCCGTGATCGTCATCTTCGTCGTCGTCGTCGCCGTCGTCGTCGTTGGGCGCCGCCGCGCGCCTCTGCCGCTGCCGCCGCCGCCGCCGCCGTCGGCGTCGTCGTCGGCGTCGCCGCCGCCGTCGTCGTCGTCGTCGTCGTCGTCGTCGTCGTCGTCGTCGTGGTCGTCGTCGTCGTCGTCGTCGTCGTCGTCGTTGGGCGCCGCCGGCGCTGCCCCGAAGATGGCCGAGGAGCCGCCCGCCCCCCTCCGCGTGTTTGTTCTTCCCACCCGTCCTGTGGTGTTGGGTCTTCGTTCTGAAGAGACGGCGCCCCGCGTGCCTTCCTTTCCTTCCTCCTACCCCTCCCTCCTCCCATCCCTCGAGGCGGGACCCCCTGCTGCCGCCCCCGCCGCCTCTTCCGGCTTTCCTCTTACAGAACGGGAGGCCTAGGCGGGGCGCCCAGCACGACGACGAGAGTTCGCGAACCTTTCGCCATGCCTGCGTCCCACCACCACCTCCCATCCCTGCTTCTGCCCTGCATGTGCCCTCATATCATGACCATCCTGCGTGCCCGCGCCCAGATCGGCACAGCGCTCCCGCGCTTCGTGGCCCCAGCGAGAGCTCCACCGGAGGTCCCAGCGGCAGGGCCCGCATGACGCACTCGCACTCGATTCGGCACACTCATCACATGTTTCGTGGTCCCATAATTGGGGTTCAACTGCAGGCCCCAGCGGCAGGGTCCGCATGGCGTACCCGCACCCGATTCAGCACACCCCTCACACGTTTTGTGGCCCCATCGGGGGTTCCACCGCAAGCCCCAGCGGCAGGGCCCGTACGGCGTACCCGCACCCGTTTCGGCACACCCTTTACACGTTTCGAGGCCCGAAGGGAGGTCCACCGCAGGCCCCAGCGGCAGGGTCTGCATGGCGTACCCGCTCCCTATTCTGCACACCCCATCACACGCTTCGCGGCCCTTGAGGGAGCTCCACCGAAGGCCCCATTAGCAGGGCCCGCATGGCGTATTCACACTCGATTCGGCACACCCCTTACACGTGCCGTGTCCCCGCAGGGAACTCCATCCAAGGCCCGGGTGGCAGGGTCCGCGCGGCGCACCCGCCCTATGTCGGCACACCCCTCGCTCCTCCCCCCTGCTTCTTCTCACTTGCCTTGCGGTTCCCGCAGCTTCATATGGTTAGGCCCTTCGCCAGGATATGTTCAAATCGCGTAGACATGATGTCATCATGTATATGTCCTATGCTTTTATTCGATCGGATGGCTATTGGTTTCTCAAAGCGGTGCTGCCGTTTCAGCGTTGGCCTCACTCTGGGATCTGCATGTTGCCAGGACTTGTCAGAATGGCGCTCTCGCCCCAGGGCGGGCAGCAGATTTCCGTATCCGAGTGCTTCCTGATCCTGGTCGCCCCGCTCCTTTCCCCTCCGCAGCCCTCCCCTGGGCACTCGGCTTCTCCCACTTCTCCCGCTCCTGCGCTTGTTTCCGCTGTTCTTCTTCGTCCTTTTCTGTCTTCGTCGTCCTCCTCTTTTCCTCTTGCTCGTTCTCCTGCTCCTCAGCCAGCTCCTCCTCCCATGTGCACTGCGCCCCTCTTTGATCTTCGCATGGAGCCCTGTGGTTCTTTTGGTGGTTCCAAGTCTGCTGCGACACCCGTCGGCGGATGTAGAGTTACGTCGGGCCTGCCCGTCTACAGGAGGAATGCTAAAACATAAACGAACAATGGCCAGGGGACGATTCTTTCATTCTTTGGGCCAATTTTGAATACCTTTTCTATGGTTCGTCCAAAATCCGCCTGCAGGGGGACACGCCCGACTTACATGTAGTGAAGACAGCGCCAGCGGGAGGGGACGGCGCGGGAAGGGCAGGACAGCAGGCTGCGGCGCGAGCGCGCCCGGGCTGCCCCCCCTCCGCCCTCCCCTGCTCTGCCCGCTCCTGCCCCCGCCTCCGCGCCCACGCCTCCCCTCTCCTCCCTCTCCGACGAACGAACAACGCACGCACCCATACCCATGGGGGGAACGTTGGGAGGAGAACTGGCTACGGGTATGGGTACGGGTTGTCGGATCCTGGGGGGCGCTTTCTCTCGAGCGGGGGACCCCCGTCCGACAACACGCACCCATATTCCCCTCCGACCCACCTATGGGTATGGGTGCGTGTTGTTCGTTCGTCACTTTCCCCTCCGACCTCTGCTCCCCTTTTCTCCGCCCCCGTCCCGTGGAGCTCACCGCAGCCCAGAAGGCGCGGACAGCAGCCAATCGCGCCGCTGCCCGTGAGAGGCGCCCTCGACGGATTGCGCCGTGGAGGGGTAGACTTGAATTCAGTTTTGTGGTTAAAAAACCAAATCTAAAACATATTGTCATTGTTATTATTTTGTTTTATTGCTATTATTGGTATCATTGCTATTATTGTTATTCGTGTTATTATTGTTACTGCTATTATTATTGTTGTTGTTGTCACTCTTATTGTTGTTGTTGTTGTTGTTGTTGTTGTTGTTGTTGTTGTTGTTGTTGTTGTTGTTGTTGTTGTTGTTGTTGTTGTTGTTGTTATTATCATTAGCACTATTATTTCTATTCTTATTTTAATATTATTATTATGTTTAGTAATGTTATTGTTTTTATTATTATTATCATTCTTGTTACTCGTATTATTGCTATTCTTGTTATTGTGATTATTATGATTATGCTGATTATTGTCATTATCATTACTATCGTTGTCATTCGGATTACCATTATTTCTTTTCTTCTTCTTAGTAGTATTATTAGTCATCGTATTACTATTGTTCGTAGAATCACTATTCACTATATTTATAATATTAGATAAAGTTTCAGCATTCTGGGGTTTCGAAGGTGAAGCTCTCCCTGAAGGTGTTTTGAGCACAGCTTTAACGCTCAAGCCAACGTGCACCACCACCACCTTCCCCTCCCGGCCTCCCTTCCCTCCCAGCCCCCCCGCTTCGGGGTGTGGGGGGGCCCCGTCGGCCGGACCCGCCCGTGGTGGGGCGCAGCCTCGGGAGGGCCCCCGCTCCAATGTTCCTTTCTCCCCCCTTGACCTTTCCCCTCCTGCCCCCCCTCCCTCCCCCCCCGCCGGCGGCCGGCGGCCCTCCCCACCCACGTCCCCCCCCCCCACGTACCACGCATGACCCCCCCCCACGGAAAAAGAGCAGTCTCCGTCCCCTCCTCCCCCCGCTCTCCTCCTCCTCCTCCTCCTCCTCCTCCTCCTCCTCCTCCTCCTCCTCCTCCTCCCAGCCCCCTCGTCCCCGCCGCCTCCCGCCAGGTGGCGGTCGAGGACCTGCGGGGGCTCCTGCGCCGGCAAGGTCGCTCTCCGGCGGGTTGGCGATGGCGGCGCTCGCGGTCGTCTCGGTGGCTTGCGCTCGTCGCTGGAAGCCTCTCCTCCTCCTCCTCCTCCTCCTCCTCCTCCTCCTCCTCCTCCTCCTCCTCCTGCTCCACCTGCTCCTCCTCCTCCTGCTCCTCCTGCTCCTCCTCTTTCCCCCCTCCCTTTCTTTCTCTCGCGCTCTCTCTTTCTCGGCCCTTGGGTCATCCTGACGCGGTCATCCCCCCTCCCCCCCCCCAGCAGCGGTCGCTGCTGGGGGGCTTGATCAAAATGGTAAGCCAGGCGGCACCAGGGGTAGGAGCCCCTTGAATTTGCCGGCTGGTGGGAGGTCCGTGAAGTGAAGGACAAGCGACAGTTGATGTTCAGAGCCTGAATTACCTACCCCGCTTTCGCTTCCAGGCAAAACCAAACCATACCACGCGCCTCCTTGTCAAGCGGCCTGACCAGGAGAGGCTGCAGTTTGGCATCGTATCTTTTGGAAGCGAGGGTGGTCAAGAGCGAGGAAGGTTTGTTTTCCCCCTAGATGCGACGAGCGAGGGATGCGAAGACGGAGGAAGAGGACCTCAGCACCCGAAGTAAGGATGGCCGTGGCCGTTTGTCGAGCGCGAGGGGCGGCCTCGCGGTTTGCGGGAAGCCTGGCGCCCTTGCGGCGTGGGGCGGCGTGGGGCGGCGCGGCCGCGCTCTCGCCCAGGCGGGCAGGCGCAGAGGCCTCTCCCCTGCCCGAGGGGGTGCCCGGGCGAAGGACTGGTGGCTCTGGCTCGCCTCCTTGGTGCGGGTGTGGGAGTCCTCCGCTGGGCACCGCCTCGCTGTGTGACCAAGGGCCCCCACGAGGGCGCGAAGTTGGTCGCGCTTCGCGCTTCGCGCTTCGCGGGCCTCCTTCCTCCCCCCCCTCCTCCTCGTCTTCCTCTTCTCCCCTTTGGGGGCGGCGCGAGAGCGCGAAGTTCTTCGCGCTTCGCGCTTCGCGCAGCGCGAAGCGCGAAGTAGGTAGCCCTAGGTGACCTCGTTCTCGTCGTCTGCCGCACCGGCCTCACTGCATGGATCATCCCGCGCGAAACCGATGTCCCTAGGGGTAGTGTCGATCTCGCTGATCCTGGCCTCCAGTGCGGCCAGATACTTTTCGAGTTCTCTGTGCTGCGCTTTGGTCTGCTCGTAGTGGTCCTCCGTGATCTGTTTGGTGCGGTCAATCTCCCCAGCCTGCTGGTAGAGTGGCATGCTGTTGATGAGCTCGTTTTGATGAATGCGATCTGTGCTTCTGCGTCTGTAGTGGATCGGCCAAAAGCGCTGGTCTTCATGACCGCAGCTGCTGCTCGTCGTTATTCAGTCGCCTTGTCTTTCTTCCACTTTTCTTTGAGTTGTTTGTCGTCGGGTGGTGCTTCCTAATCGTACCTTCTGGTGGCGTAGACGTTGCCCATGGGCATAGCGTTGCTGATGATGTTGTTGAGGTGGCCATTGTAGTCCTGGTTGGACTCCCTTGGCTGCAGTGCCTTCCTCTGGGGTTGGTTGTTTGCCCTCGCCCTTCTTCTTCTTCTTCTTCTTCTTCATGTTCTTGCCGTCATGCGGCCAGTTGACGTCCTCGGCGTGGTCGTCGTAAGACCTGGGGGATGCTGCCCTTGCTCTTGTCGTTGGTGCCCTTGCTGCTCTTGTCAGCGCCCATGTCCCAGGACGGTGGGGGCGTTCGTTAAGGAATGTGCCCAGGAGGCATCAGACCCCGGAGTATTCCTTATCTGACGAGGGCAGCGGTGATATCCATGGCCGGGCCTCGATTGGCGTTCCACCGGGCTTCCAGGCTCTGGATTCCTCATCGAAGGATTCCTCATCCAGGAGCCCTGAGGCTGGCAGCGGCCAAGGCGACGGGCAAACTGGCTCCTGGGGCTGCGCTGGGCTTCCTGCTGCAGTGCTCGCCGCGAGGCTGGCGCCAGGACCCGCTAGTGGTGGCCACGGGCTTGGCCGTCCTAGCGTACACCAATGTCCGCTGGGCAGGCCAGGCCTCCGCGGCGGCGATCCAGGCCTGCATAGCGGAGAGCGCCAGGATCGTGAGGCTCCAGCGCCCTTGGGCTGCCGTCAGGGACCCGATCTCGGCCTTGGTGCTCACGCTGCAGGTCATCGGCTGGGGCCTCAGCGACGACGGCGACTCCCTGCAGGACGAGTTCGGCTGCTGCTACTCCGTCCTTCGGTACTCCCCCGCCTTCCTTGCGGAGAAGGCCAAGGAGGCGGCCAGGAAGGCGGCAGCCTTCCAGGAGTACGACGCCAGGCCTGATACCCTGTGGCCGTGGCAGCTGCCGCCAAACTGGCGGGCCATCAACCAGCTCCTCGGCGCCGCGCCCACGGAGACGTGGTCCAGCCACCACTGCGGCTGCCTGCGCAGGCTGGCGTCTCTGTCACTATGGCCGCAGGCCAGGCTGGCCAAGCGTGGCACCGACATCGACGACCGCTGCCTGCTCTGCGGCGAGGAGAGCGGGACTCTGGCCCACCGCCACCACAGATGCCCTGCCTGGGAGGGCTGGCGGCGAGATCGCAGGCCCGCCGACTTGAAGCGAGCTGCCGAGCTGGTGAGCACAATGGGCCACCGCTACGAGGAGCTCTTCTGCCAGGGCCTCTTCGTTGACGCCCAGTACCTGGTGCAGAGGCCGCGCTGGGACCCTCGCTGGGAGCGCCGCTCGCGGGGCTGGGACGAGGGCGCGCTCGTGGTGCCCGCGGGCTCCCTCGTCTTCACGGACGGCTCCTGCGTCAACAACGACTTCCCGATGGTCAGGAGCGCGGGCTGGGCAGTGGTGGTTCTCACGCCCGACGGCGAGTGGTTGGCGCAGGCGTGGGGGGCAGTGCCGCCTGCCCTTGTGCCCAGCCAGACGGCGAGGGCAGGCGAGGACTACGCGGCGGTGGTCGCCCTCACGGACATCGTCGGCCACTACCACCTCATGATCGACTGCCTCGGCACGGTCGGGGCTTGCAAGGACGTGAAGAGGGCGGCGGCCCCGACGGCCCAGTTTGCCCACCTCTGGGCGAGGGTCGGCGACGCCGCCGAGGGGGTGCACGTGAAGCACATCCCCGCCCACCGTTCTCGGGCGGCAGTCGAGCAGGGCGTACTCTCGGAGGTGGAGCTCTACGGCAACCGCCTCGCGGACCAGCTCGCGAAGGCGGGCGCGGCGCTGCGCGCCATCGCCGACGACGAGGCCCTCCTGCTCCAGGGCTGCCTGGCCCGCGCCCGTGACGCGGCGCGGTACGCCGCCGAGTTTGAGGTCCAGGCTACGGAGTCGGGCTTGCGGGACTCCTGGCCCATCAGCTCGCTGGAGCTCGTCGACCTCACCCCCTACATGGCGGCGGAGCTCGACGGCGAGACCGACTTCCTGCACGCCGCCGCGGCGGAGCCCGCCCCTGGGACAGGTGGATTCAGCCCACCGTCGTCGCAGTCCCAGGGGCGCGGCGAGCTCGAGGTGATGCACGACGCGGAGGTGCGCGGGGCTGCCGCTTCAGCGACTGGCTTCTTGAAGGAGCCCGACGCCGAGCCTGGCGATGACGTCGGCGTAGCGCAGCCCTCGGCGGCTGACGGCGGCCCCCGCCTCGCCACGGCGGCGGCCCCGGCAGCGGTGGCGGCAGCTGGCGCCTCCAGCTCGCGGCCTTCGCCCGCGAGGCGCCGCCCCGCCTCGGCCGAGTCGCCCGCGCAGGTGCTGCGCCGTGTTGCCCAGCGCAGGGCGCAGGAGCATCCGAGGCGCCGCGAGGCCTCGGCGCCCGCGCCCAGCCCGCGCCTGGCGGCGGCGGAGGCGACGAGCCCAGCCCCTGCGGAGGCGGCAGATACGACCCGTCCAGCGGGATGGAGGGTCAACGGCCACCTCCTCATGGAGTCGCGCGTCGAAGGCGACGTTTCCGAGCCCTTCCTGGTCTGCGCGGCCTGCTGGATGTACTGCCGCCTCCCCAGGTACGCGCACCGCGGCCTGGGCAAGCCGTGCGGGGCCAGCGCGGCGGCGGGGCAGCCCGAAAGCAAGAAGGGATCCAGAGCCCAGGCGCGGTCGGACTTCGCACGTGGGATCCTGCCAGCGTCGAAGGAGCCGATCGCGCCGCTGGCCTCGCCAACGGCAAGCACGCGCCTGCGCTGGGCGGCGGCGCTCCAGGCCAGGCAGGGCCACGGCTCGGAGGTGCAGGCGACCGAGGCGGCGCCCGAGCCAGCGCTGCGGCAGCCTGCTGCAGCCCCGCCCACGCCGCCTGCGGCAGGCGCTGGTAGCCTGATGGCTGCGCCGCCGAGCGCCACGGCGCCGCGGCGCCTGGCAGCGGCGGCCCCGCGGGCGGAGGCAGCCGAGCCGCGGCGGATCCGCCCAGGGCTCGAGGGCGTCCTCCGAGCCCACGGCTTCGCGGACGCTGCGGCGGCCCGCGAGCGCGGGCGAGCCGCGAGGGCGGCGGCCGTCCCGCCTGCTTGGATTTGTTTGCATGAAACCGTGGACCTTTGTCCGCGCCCACAGAGATAAAAAAGGCCCTCGCTGTAGTCCGTAGCCATTTTGGCTCAAGGCAATGAACCGTCCCGACGACCGCGAGTCTTTCGGGGCGACTAAGCGCGAGGGAGGTTCTGCTTTGAGGCTACTTTCCTTTCCAACAAGTGTGAGCTGCCACTGCAGCACCCTGGACCTGCGGGTCACGGCTTCTTCTGCGTCGGCGGGTCCGCCCCCGTCGGCACCTGCCTGCTGCGCGCCCGCGGCTGAGCAGAGCGCCCGCCCGTTCCGGCGATGGGGCCGAAGGCCGAGCCTGGCTTCGTCGTGTGCACGGGCTGCCGTTTCCGCTGGAACTTCCGCAGGAATGCGAAGTGCTGGCTGTGCGGGATCGGGCTGGAGCTGGCGCCCTCGAAGCCTTCGCCCCGCGTCGGGGTCTGGGCGGACGACGGCGGCGGCGGCTCCCAACCCGCACTGCGAGGAGGCGGCAGCGGAGGCCCACCGAAGAATGGCGCCAAGGGCGGCAAGGGCGGCAAGGGCCGTGGAGGAGCCTCCCGTGGCGGCGGTG